TGTAACGGTTCGTCACACCTTTCCGTTCATCATTCTTCTTCAACAATCCTGTGTCACCTGGTTCCCTTGTCCCTGGTAAGTTGTCCTTCATCAACATCCTTATCGTCGTCATGAATCGTTTTCGAGTCTCTCGTCCTCGCCGTTCCGCTCAGAAAGGGGCTGCTACTAAGGCTTTGGCAGTCTTGATCGAAAGTTCCGGTGAAACTTCCGAAATGCCGTGCAGCAATTGTCATCGTCATTGCTGTGCTTGCGTGGTTGATCTTTCGAAATCGAACTCGTGTAGCGAGTGTGTTCGTCGCAAGACTTCTTGTGACGGCCATGACATTGCTCGTCGTTGTGAGTGCTGCTTTTCTTGTTCCTTGTTTCCGTTGTACTGATGGTATTAGTATATCAATCCATGAAGGATGCGAATCGTCTCGAGGAGGAGGAAGACAAGCTGTTGCGCAGCTCGGTGGAGATTCAGTCTCGGCTGTTGCGCGTGCGGGAGCAGAAGCGCCATCTCCAGAAGCGTCAGAAGGAAATGTTTGATCATGGGATGGCTGATCTAGCGGAGGAGCTTGGTGATACTGATCCTCTGGTTGAGGAGTCCGCTAGTTCTTCCGGCGTCCCTGCTGCTTCCGTTAAATTGACCGGGGGGTTGGTTTTTGAACAATGGGCTCAGGAGAATGGTTTGGAGATGCCTGATTTTGAGGTGGTTGCGGTCGGTCAGGGTTCTGGCGATGCCAATCCTCAATCTCTTTCTTGAAGTTGAGGAGGTATTCTTGTGGTTCCCATGTATTGCTTTCGTGGCCGTAGCCTTCCCATTTGACAAGATACTTGATTTAATGAAATATTGGACATCTTGTAAGTTGACTACATATTCTTCCATTTGTACAAAACGTCCGCTTACTCCTCCTCTCAACAGTCACCGTTTGGCGACCCTTCTCTTCGATGGCGAGCATTTCATGCCCTGTTGGTGACCAATGTTTGATTTAAGCGGCGTTTCTAGCTCAGACAAGTACCTCAAGAAACGCTTTTCCACTGAGCCAGGGCACTTGGCTGTTTTTCGAAAGTCTGTAGAGGGTGGAGTGGCTGGTTCTTTCTGTGGACAAAAAGGGAAGTGCGATGTCTAGGAAAGAAAGGAAGGCAGGTAGAGGAGGGTAGGGCTTTCCACTTGAGACTCGGGTTGTGTCTTTCACAGCCATGCTCGCAAGCATGAGATCTGTCTACGCTTTCTCCATGTCTATTAAGGCCTTCGGGACCGTAGTTTATCAGCGGAATTGAACTACTGTTCCAAGCCCAGAACACTGCCCTTGTCACATTGCGCCACAAGGACCTAGAAGGGTGTGAAGATGGCTCCCGAAGATGTGAAGGAAGCTGGAGGGGTCAGCATCATTGGACGTTTATTGGAGGTTTAGGCGAGGGGGTGTAGCCTGACTGTCTCGGTGCGGACGGTCTTCCGATGAGCACATTCCATCATCAGCCTGGGCCACAGGATGCGACATCAAACTAGGTGTTCCTGATTGCGGGAACCATTGGATCTCCAACGAGGTCAGCACTCTCTTTTTCGCTCTTTCTTCGGTGGATGGATCGCCGTGCCAGACGGTCTCGGCGGCTCGAGTATGCAGTGATTGGAAATGAAACTTCTTAATCGACCACTCGACCGCAGATAAGAAGCACGCAGGCACTGAGGGCGACGATGGCATGTGATTTGGGTGTTGCGAGTTGCGACGCCGCTGCCAGTTGTTTTTTCGGTTCAGTTGTCGTCAAGGAAACCTCAAGGACATTTTGGACGAGTTGGGAACCAGAGTGACGTCAAAAAAGCAGATTGGAGAGTGTCTGGCTCCTTGTGTCACACGGACATTGCCCACAGTCCACGGGTCCCGCCATATACTGGCAATAGGCCTCGGGTTGCCCTCGGGTTAATGGTCTTTTGGTGGACATTTAGGGCACTGCTCTTATCTTTGTATGCTAGATTCACCGATGTGGCACGTCTCATGCCCTACGGGAGGCGGAAGTAGACGTTAAAAATTACAACAACAACAACGGCCTATTGCCAGTGTAAATCATGTGTTGCCCATAGCGTAAACGCGGCCCAACACTTGTAATCGAATCGCCCAGTGGGCGAGCCGCCAGTATATGACGGAACCTGTAGCACAAAGGAAAGGTAAAAGAATTGACAAAATCACTCCTCTCCGCTCTCGCTCTCGCTCTCCTCCTCCCGCAAGGCCTCCTCCCGTCTCCTTGCACGGTGAACTAGCCTGTCCAAGTCCACCGTAACCCTCTCAATGTCGTGGCCATGGCCAACTTCCACCCCTCTACTCCGTAAAAACCCCGTAAGGTTGTCAGCGGCGCCACCGCCGTCAGTGTGCTGTTGCCAGAGTGTCTGGCGCCATGCCTTTCTCGTACAAGTCCATGAAAAGAAGTGCGAGGTCTGGATTTGCATAGAACGGCCATGCTTGCGTATAATTAGGTATATATGAGTGTAACAAAGTTCCTACGGTAGCGTAGTAGGCTTTTGCAAATGGGATACATGCCGTCCTTGAAGAGGTGTCTCAGCTTCACTTCCGCCCTGTAAGTACCTAGTAACCTGGGTTGGGGTAGATAGAGCTGAAAAACCCAGAACAAAAGGAAAGCAAACACTGTCCCGCTCCCGGAAGGGAGCACACCAAGCAGTGGGACAGCACTGTTCTTTGCCTCTTTGACTGGCAGTAATTCTGGATTTTTTTCACCGGTAGGTGGACATCTAGATCGGCGTCTCATGCTGGGCTATGTCAAGAGGGATCTGGAATGGAAGGCATTGTGGTGTGAATGGAGTTGAAGACTTGAAGTGCATGATGAGTCGAAAGACTTTTGCCGAGAGCACATGTGCGGAGCGGCCCGGTACCGAGTGGAGGCACGGTTAAGGCTGAAAGAAACAACGTTGAACCATGTTCATCAAGCGAACGGGGTGACGATTCCGGGATTGATGACGTTAACTGTCACACGGACATCGACACCCTTGTCCAGTTTCAGGCTAAGCGAGCCAACCCCAGAACTTCTGACGGCGCTAAACATCATCACAAAGCCATCATAGTCATCACAGGAGTAATCACGCTTAACCGAGCAGAAGCAGGGCGCCCGGGCAAATGCCGGCGCCAGGAGGAAGAAGGAGAATGGATGAAGGCATTCAGAAAAGACCCACATGTATACAGATCGCTAGATAGAGGCCTTGGAGCCTCAAGCGACAAGGACCGGTACGTACCCAGTACGTACCGTTTCCCTTTAGCATAAGAAGGCCCTGAAGTCCAGCCTTCTCCTGGAGGTTGGGAGGATCAACAAGGCTTCGTGACCAAAGTAGTTTATTAGCTGAATTGAACTACTGTTCCAAGCCCAGAACACTGCGCTTGTCACATTAATGCAATACAGTTCTAGAAGGACTGACCTCCATCATAGACTTGGACGGGCTCGTGTTCACGAACCCATCACTCAATCAGGAACGCGCCATTGGAAGAAACTCAGGGAGAAGAACAATATATGTAAACTGTCAGCTGTAGCGTCTACCACGATCGCCTGAGATCCGTTCCGTCCAACTGTTATCTGCCGTCTAAGCATCCAGCGGCTTCTGCGCAAGAACCACGCGCCACTTCCAGTTTGCGTGGATCTTTTGCTCCTTGAATTCCTTGCGAACGCAAGCAGCGTAGCCAGCCAATGCCTCATCACTCCAACCCATGACCTCGCCGAGGAAGTACGCGAAGATACCCTCGAGATCCTGCGTCAAGTAGACCATGTTAAAGAGCCCAAGCTCCTTTTGCTTTGGGTCAGTTGGCCAACCGGAGCATGGAGCCAGGTAGTCCTTGACCTGGATGTTGGTGAAGCCCGCCTCTTTGACGCCATTTTCCATACAACCCGAATCCGCCATATTGATGGCAACCCCCGTCTTTCTACCCACCTCGGTCCAGATTTTTCCCCATTGGTATAAGGCAGAGTCCTCGGGCATAGTCCCGTCGTTGCAGACCAGGTTTACTTCGCCATCGATGTGTTCAATCCAAGCGCCTGGTTTCATACACTTGTACGCCTGTTTATATAAAGCAGGCCAATCGCGAATTACGCCAGTGAGCCAGCGAATATGGACGTAATCAAAGAAATCTTCACGGTAGGTCCATGGCTTGGTAGCGTCATCGATATCGAAGTGAAGGTTGGGAGGAACCCAACTGGGTTGGATCGGTGAAATGTCGGTACCGATTACATTGCAATTAGGGTGCTCGTCGGCAAAGTCGACCGCCCAAAGTCCTGAAAATGGCAATGCACTGGTTAGTGAAATATTCTCCTCAATTTCATTTACTGCTTGGGTGGTTCAGGATGCTTCATTAATCCAAGGTAGCGATCTACTTACCGGTACCAGTGGCAACATCAAGTGCATTCTCAATATCATCCTTGATAGGGGCCGTATACAGCTTTCCGTCGAGCAACAGAGTCTGGAAGTGATGGAAAATATCTAGCATCTCATTTGCCTTTTCGTCGTTTGGGCCCCTGAATTGTGATACAACCATTAGCCTCAAAAATTGCGTTGTGGTATTCCTCCTTGTGAACCAACATACCAATATTCATGATCTGTAGCAGCATCACTGTGGTACGTGCGGCCTCTGATCGTACGATATCTCATAATACTAGAGCTGATTGAAGCGGTTGAACTCTCGGCGTCGCTGCCTAGCGTCGAGTCGGCATCATCATCAAGCGAAAGCTCCTATGCGTGTGTGGCACCTGTCTGTCAGTACTCCCCTATCACAAACAAGCAGCCTTATGCTCTGGAAGATGTCAGAGGAAAGTTTATGAAAAACCGACGAACCTGCTCAGCCCAATGCGAGCCGGCTAAGAGACCAATGGGCTCTGAAGGCTCATCGGCCACTGGAGACAAGGGAGCAGGCGTGGGCGACTGTGCAAGACCTGGTGTGGGCGACTTCCTTCCTGCCGGGGAGACGGGACCTGGAGTAGGCAATTTTGTCCTGTTCGGAGAACTCATGGCTAAAGGATGCGTTTGGTTCGAGTTCGGACTTGGTGCAACGGAAAAACTCGAGTGTGAAAGGTTGCTCATTATAAAAAGTGACAGCAATCCAGTAGATATAAGAACGGTTGCCCCTCATCGAGCCCTTGCAGTAGGATGCCCATGTCCTTGGGGAGGAGCGGTCAAGCATTAAGGTAACATCGCACGATCCTTTGGCCACAGCCTCGGCCACTGTCTAAAATTCCCCAGTGCGACCTGTCAATTTTTGGTGGGCTAACGGGTAACGCTTCCGGTTATGCTGTTTTAGGGAAAAAATTGTTTTATAGGGTGATGGAAGTACCTTACTTA